ACCCAAAGTCAAGCCCGGAGAAGTTTGGAGTAACCGGCCAGGTGGCAGGCAACGGGATGGAGAAGACCCCACCCCATGACGCCCACCCCCATTATGATTTGGATCAGCAGAGGCTGCAGCCAGAGGAAGGACGACAAACTGTCCTTGCTTCAGAGGGGCTGGGGGTGGGGAGGGCTAAAGGGAGGAGGGAGAGGTCCCAGCTTGCGGGTTACAGCTGACCCCCCCCCCCCCGCCGCGGGGGCCCCCTGCCCACGGCGCCCGCCGCGCCCCCCACCCCACTCCCGCCCTAGCTGGAACGGTGGGTTATGCTGCCCCCTGCCGCCCGCTCTCCACACTGCAGCCCCGCTCCCAGGACCGGGCGGCGCAGCGAAGGAGCTCGCACCGCACCGTCCAGGGTCAACCCTTCTCCCCGTCGCGAGGGGTTGACCAGAGGGACCCCGCATCTTCCAGGCTCCGACCTGAAAAGAACCGTGCATCTGGAAACGTGGGGACAGTTCTCCGGCCGCCCCCTCCGGGACCGCCCCACCCCTGGCTGAAGGAGTTTATCAAATGTGCTTGCTACTTCCTGGCATTAGGCTCCCGCTGGCACTTTTATTCCAACCATAAAAAGGCTATTTCATTGAGAAATAAAGTCCCATCTCCCTGACGTGTGACTCCTTTCAGAGCTCTCAGCCGCCAGGCAAAATTTATGTTTCCCGGATGCTCTCTCCGGGGTTTGCAACTGGAAATTGGGGAGAGGGGGCTGGAAGGGGGAATTTCCTCTCTGGTTGATGGACTTGTGCTTGTTTCATTGGTCTCAGGAGCCCCGGAAACCCAAGGCGTCCAGGAGAGAGCCCTTGCCTTGGAGTGAGGAGGAGGCCAGGGTTCGAGCCCTGGTTCACCAGCTGTTAGCTGTGTGGCCTTGGGCAAGGTCCCGAGCCTCAGTTTACTCATCTCTAAAATGGGAAGAGCAATGCCTCTCTTCCTCAGAGGGTTGGAGCTCGATGCTTTGGGCAGAGGAAGATGGAAAGTACCTGGAAGCTGTAGAAATGTCCAGTGTTGCTATTATTATGGAGGCAGAGGATTTCTCTTATTTGGATGGAGGGTTGCTGTCCCTGGCACAGGTTCTCCCAAGCAGTGAGTGGTCTCAGCTTCCGTGTGCATCAGATTCACCTGGAGGGCTTGTTAAAACAGACTGCCGGGCCCCACCCACCCTGTGTTTCAGGATCTGCAGGTCCGGAATGGAGACCAAGAATTGGCTTTCCTAACTATTCCTTAGGTGACGCTGATGCTGCTGGTCTGGCGACCCCACTTGGAGAACCGTTGTTCTGAGGGCTTTGAGATCTGGGTTGTAGGACAGCTCGGCCCGGGCTTTGGGAGAGGAGTAAGGAGCTGGTGGGAGGTCACCTGTGGACCAAGGAAGGGGTGGGGTCTGGCCAGCTACGCGGAAGAGTGTCTGTCCATATTGTCCCATCTTGTCCCCCCCCCCCCCCCCCACTGGCTTGGCCTCATGTCGCTGGTGGCCTCCACCACCAGAAACCAGACCCGGGAGCAGCAGAGATGTGGGCGGTGGCCCAGGGCTAGGCTGTGCCTAGGAGGATGGACCCTAAGGGGTGAGGGGTTCTACAGAGCCACACTGGGGACTCTTGATTTATCGTCCCCCCGGTCTGGACCTCCCTGCCACCCACTCCTGTTCCCTGTTTTGGCCTGTTGCTCAGAGAAATGAACTGACTTGCTCAAGGTCACACGGCTTGGGCAGGACACTCAGAAAGAGCCCTTACCACCACACTGCCTCTCCGGCAATGCAGTAATTTGAAGGATTACTAAGTTGATGACTCTAATTCCAGTTTAAGTAATATTCAAATACCCAACAGAGACTTGCAGCTAAGGCTAGAAAAGCATGCAGTGGTTGAAGAAGTCTGCCGTGGGAGCGCCTAAAATCTGGGAATTCAAGGCCTTCAACGAAGGAAACAACAACGAGCCTGGATGTTACAGGGCATGAAAACAGGCTTTGTGCTCAGGGAGGAAACCCCAGAAAGGAAACTGGATCGTGGCTGCTCCGTGTAACAGGACAGAAGAGCAATAAATCGTCCCAGCCCCTGAAATTTACACACAGCCGTGGGGTGAAAAAGATGGGGACCCAAGCTACTGAGGGCAGGGAGTCACACGGTGTCTGACCACCCCGAATCCCCGACTATCTGAGATCCTGCCCAGCAGGAGGCTGAGCTGGAGAGGAAGAACCACTCCTTGCCAGGATCTCAGTGGCCACAGAGAGATCAGCAGTAAAGAGATGACTGCTGTAGACCTGGAAGGTCTCCACGGGACAGCTGGAGGTCCCCCATGGCTGGGAAAACCCTCGTGCGCATGCACACGCGGCACTGGGATTGGGCACAGGTGCCATCCAGGCCCCGGCGGATCCAGAGCCCTGGGCAGGCGTGGTTCTGGGGCTGTCCCGGGTTGTGGGAGAACGGGAGACTCCCCAGAAGCTCCAGCGAGCGCTTTCTAACTAAACACGACTGTCCCGGTTCTGGGTCGGTGCGGAGCGGAGCGAGTGGAAAGAAGAGAAGTGAAGTGCTTGGTTCCAGCTGCGCAGCCCGCTGAGCTGGGCCAAGTGCCCAGATCCTCTCAGCCTCGCAGCTCGCTGCCCGCTGCAGGGAGAGCCATTTATGCCAGGTAAAGGCTGGCGATTTCATTAACTCCGTTCCCTTTGTCTGGTCTCCAAGGGCACCGGGTGGTTAAACATGTGGAGGACTTGGTAAAGGGTCAGCCCCGGTTTATAGGACTGTCTTGCGGGGGCGGGGCCCTGGTCTTCGAGGCCCTGAAGCTGGGTGGTTCAGCAGAGGTGGGGAAGGGGAGGAGGGAGATGGGGGGGCCAGGAAACAGAGACTGCGGGCATCTCAAACATCACCTGCAGCCACCTTCACGGAGTCATCTGGACGCCCCCCCTAGAGGGGCCCTTTGAGTCACCTTTCCTTCCAGCGGGGTGGGCTGGCCTCTGTCAGCCAGGGCCCCCCTCCTCCGTTCCTTTCGGCCGCCCCTGCCCTCTGATGTCCACTTTCCAGCTTTTTTTTTTTAAAGCCAGGATAAAATCTGGGCTCCTGCGTGCCTCCTCGTCCTTTCCACTTCCTCCTGTTCACTCCGCCAGCTCCCGTGGCCTTCTTTCCGTCCCTCCAACCCTCCTCAGAGCCCTTGCATTTGCTGTCCCTCTGTCTGGATGCCCCCTCAGAGGGGCCGTCCTGACCACCCCGCCCCAACCTACCCTCCATCCAAGTGGCGTATCTGTGTCTCTTCCGAGCACATCGTGTCATCTGAAATTGGCCACGCGTGGATTTACGGCCAGTCTCCATCCACCACCCCCCCTTCACACATAAGCCCACGCTCTCCCACACACGCGAGTCCGCTAGAACTTTCGTTCCCATGTGAGGGACCTTCTCTGTCCAATTCACCATTCCCTTCCCAGCTCTGGAACAGAGAATGCACTCCATCAACATTTGCCCAGCGATGGGGTCCGTGATATGCACCATAAGAAGGCAGGTGGGGGTCTGGGGAACCAGGTGATAGGGAGCCCACAACATCAGCGCTGGGCTCTAACCCCCTTTCCCACCAGCCTCTGAAGTCTTCTAGCCCGGAAGCCACGGGCTCCAGTGAGGTGATCCCAGCCTAGGGGAGTTCAGGCTTCTTTCTCCCCCCCACCCCAACCCCCCCAGGCCAGACCACCCAGCCAGGTGTGGGTGGGGGGAGGCCGCCACAGCCTGGGGCTCCTCTCGCTGGCTTCCCCTGTAGGTGTCAGTCTCGCCCTGGCCTGGGGGCCCGCCGTCCCTGGGCAGCGGCTGCCCACAGGGGAACCGCCTGGCAGGGCGGGTGGGGGTGGGGGGTTGGCCTTGGAGTCACGGCTCCGATTCAAGAAGGGAAATCATCCGAGCTTTTAAAAAATTAAATGGAGTCAGTAATTTGATTTCAGAGAGAAGCTGAAAACCTCGTAATGGCAGGAGCAGCTCAAGTCCGTGGTGAAAAGGAAAAGCCTTAAATGGGGCTATTAAGCTTTTGCCTGGGATGGATCTGCCCGGAGAAGGAGGAAGGAGGGGGAGGGCGGGCAGCGGGGAGAAGTCGTCCTGGAGGTAGAGACCGTTTATCAGCCAAGACAACCCTGATTATTTATTTATTTATTTGTTCCGCGTTCCGGGCGTTGTCCGCGGCCCCCTCTCCTTGGCTGTATTTCAAATCCCACTTCCAGAGACAGACTGGGGGGGGGGGGGGCGGGGAGTGCCACCGTCTCAGGGAACCACCCCCTGTGCTGCTCCCGCTCGGGCCCCAGCTGGGCCTCTGGGCCAGGAAACGTGGGACCCCGGTGTTCCCTGGAGGTCAACGGGGGTCACCCGAGTGATCCAAGCCGGGGGGGGGGGGGGGGTATCAGCGGCTGCCAGGGAATAGTGAGTCACGGAACCAAAGCAGTAAGGCTCCCCATTCTCCTCTCATGGGCTCCTTTAGAGACCTGGGGTCACGGCCCCTGAGGCCCAGGGGAGGGCGTCTCACCCTGTAGGATCTTATCATCACCCAGCCCTCCCCCACCCCAGAATGCCTGAGCCGTGGCTGGAGGCTTCTATGCTCTCCTGGAACAAGCAAACACACCCTCCACCTGGGCCTGGGAGCCCAGCAGTGTGGCTGCTCTGATTTGCCAAAACGGCAGGAATGGCGAGCCCAGGGACGGCTCACGGGTTCTGAGTACATGCTGTGTGCAGGGGCCTGCGCCCGAGGCTTCGCGTCCACGTCCTCCCAGCCCCAAGTATTATCACCCGCCCCCCACCCCCACATTTGACTGATCAGGACACTGAGGCACAGAGAGGGTTAGTGTCTCGCCCAAGGTCACACAGCCAAAGAGTGGAGAGACCAAGACTTGACCCCCAGCAGCCCGCTACAGAGCTTGCACACTTACCCCCTAACTGCTGCCCCCCGTCCCTGGCCCATGCTTCACCACAGTTAACAGTGAGAGGGCACGCACACCAGTGCTGGAGGTCCCGGCGGGTGGGAGGCATGCCCGTACATCGTCCTCCCCACTCCTCTTACTTGGCATCCCCTGGGCCGCTCCCAGGACTCACCCCAGCCAGGGGGCCTCTCAGAAGCCCCTCCACGTTCTTCTGAAGCTCACAAGCCCTGTGACTTTCGGGACTGGTTGCCCATGTGGGTTCTGCGGGCTCCTGCTAGAGCATCCCCTGGTCAACAGAAAGGGTCTCCAGGTTCAACCAGGCTGGACCGGGAAATGTCTGTGGGGGCCCATGGGCTCTGAGTTTGCTGGATGCAGGTACCACGCCCCACTCGGCCTGCTCCACCGGCCAGGGGCTGACTCGAGGCCTCAGGCTCACTATTACCCTGCCTCCAGTGGAGCTGTCCAAGAGGAATCTCCAGAAGAGCTGTCCCGGACCGGTAGCTGCTCAGCGGGAAGAACTGGCCGGGGGCCTGCCGGGCCCACCCTGTGCCTCCCCGGGGGCTCGGGGCCTGGGGCCCTCAGACGGGCACTGGGCCTGGCTGCTGCCATCATGCCTTGGGAGTGCTCACGGCGGGGCAGTGACTGTGGCGTCCATTCCCAGCCAGGGGGGGCGAGTCCTGGCCCTGCTGTGTCCTGAGCTGTCCGAGGTGCCCCTTAGCCTCCTTCCTGGATGGTCCTGGGGCCTCCGTTGTGGAGGACATCTTCTGGGGCTCTCTGGGGCAACAACAGGGAGCCAAGGCCTCTTCAGCTGGGCTGGTCATCAACCTCGTCAAAGGCCGGACCTCCTGGCTGGCCTGGCCAGGTCCCCCTCGCCGGGCTAACTGGCAGCCACATCCCCCCTGACAATATTCCCAGCAGGAGGGGACTTCCTGGTGGCCGGGCAAAGCTCTGCTCAGGCCTCATACTTCCTAGATGTCATGGAAATGGATGGCCTTGAGACCAGGAACACTTTGGACTGTTTGGACCCCAGAGAGGAGCTGAGGAGGGGAGATGTCTGAGAACAATGCATGGTCAGGGCTGTGGGGGCTGGGAAGACTGGACAAGGGGACCGGGGCTGGCCTGGACAGCTCCCATGGACTCTAAGGACAGAGCAGCTGAAGGTGGGGCATGTCCAGGTAAGTCCACCTTCCTCGAGGGAACCTGGGGACCATTCTTCTTCCATAGGCTTTGCTATTTGCAGGAATGGTCCGAGCCCCTTCTTCAGCGAGAGAGCAGTGGAGAGAGAAAGCGCATCATAAATAAAGGGATGTGAGCTTAGGCCCTGCTGAGGACGGCAGGCCAGAGACAGCCTGTGGGAACTGCGCCCTCAGGCTGGTACTCCAGGCCCGGCCCCAGGCTCCAGCCACAAGGTCTTTGAGGCAGGCCTTGGTTCCCCTCTGTGTGCACAGCTGCGGACCCTACCGGCCACCTCCTTTTGCCTGGTCTCAAGGCCCTGGGGGCTGTGAACCAGGCAGGACAGCTGGAGGGGGGCGGACCTCAGGTGGGAGCTCTTGGGGGCCCTGTTTTCTCTGGGGACCGTTCTGAATTTGAGGAGAAGACTTGGGCGGAGGTCAGAGCACGGCTCCTTTTGGAATAATGGTGGTAAAAGTGGGGGGGGGGTCTCATGCCTGGCTGGGTCCACCAACACCTCGCCAGGATGGAGCCCTTCAGAGGAAGCGAGGCCAGGTGACAGACCGGCATCAGAAGGCTTGACAGTAAAGCTCTGACAAAGCCCTTCCCAGAGGCCACCCATGGCGGCAGATCCCACAGATTAGAACTGGGGAGAGGAAGCAGGTGGCCTTCCTGCTGGAAGGGTGTCCCCTCCTGGGGATGGTGGAGGGGGAGCAGACCTCAGAGTGACAGTTCAAGCAGACAACCACCTTCTAGAACTTTCCAGAAAGGAAGCAGGAATCAGCTCTCCCAAAGAGCCAAAATCCTCCCCAGCCCCCTGGCGAAAGGGTCACCCATGCCGCCTTCCTACAGACGGGAAAATAGAGGCTTGGGAGCTTCAGATTCAAGCACTGGGTTAGGAACTGCCCCCAGCGGCCGAATTTCACAGACCTTCAACCTGGAGTCCTTTTTGAGCATATGCGAATGTCAAAATCTCTTTTTGAAACTGAATCACAGAATTTTAAGTTTTCTGTAAAGACCAGCCGGTCCCAAGTCCCCACCCCTGTATGATGCCACCTCCCGGTTGCATCTGTGAGCTAGTCGAGGCCAAATACGTGGGCCCAGCCCCAAGAACCACACAGAAGCAGACTCTGTCTCGATACTATTGACATCCTGGGCCAGATCCTTCTCTGCTGTGACAAAAGCTCCTGAGCACTGTGGGATGTCCAGCAACACCCCTGCCCTTTACCCACCAGATGCTGGTAGCATCAGAAATATCTCCAGACATCGCTAAACGTCCCCCCGGGAGGCACAAATACACCCCGTGTTGATAACTGCTGGGTTAGAGCTTGCTGGTTCTGGCTTATGCCTTCGGACACGTTTGGTTTAGCCTGCAGAGGGGTTGAAATATTTTTTTATTTTATATTTTGTTTAATTATTTTTTTTTCAACGTTTATTTATTTTTGGGACAGAGAGAGACAGAGCCTGAACGGGGGAGGGGCAGAGAGAGGGGGAGACACAGAATCGGAAACAGGCTCCAGGCTCCGAGCCATCAGCCCAGAGCCCGACGCGGGGCTCGAACTCACGGACCGCGAGATCGTGACCTGGCTGAAGTCGGACGCTTAACCGACTGCGCCACCCAGGCGCCCCTTTAATTATTTTTTTAATGTTGCTTTATTTTTGAGACAGAGAGAGACAGAGTGAGAGCGGAGGAGAGGCAGCGAGAGAGGGAGACACAGAATCAGAAGCAGGCCCCAGGCTCGGAGCTGTCGGCACAGAGCCCGACGCGGGGCTCGAACCCATGAACCGTGAGATCACGACCTGAGCTGAAGTTGGACGCTTTATTGACTGAGCCACCCAGGTGCCCCGCGTTTTAAATATTTTTTTAGATGAACTGAGAAAATGTAACCAGCTTCTCCTGGGAAAACAGAAGATTTGGCCGCATTGGCCTGCCTCCCTGACGAGGCAGGGATGGGCTGCAGCTAAGCAGAGCTACTTCCTCTCTTTAGCGGGGCCCGGGGTCTGCCCGCTCACCGGCATTTCCACCAGTGTCCTCTCCCTGGCCTTCAGCACTGTCACCTGGGCCACCGGCTCTCTTCCCCTCACTCATTTATACTCCCTGCCTGACCCCTAGAGGCATTTTTGTCAGAACCTCTGCTTTAAAATGTCAAACAGCTTTCTCTTAACCACCCTCCTGGTTTCTCTTCTCCAAGCTGGACAGCCCATTGCTTCCACTGCCCTTGACATCTGTGATATTAAACAATGAGGATTTCTCCTATATTTCACTCTGGAGGGGGTGGGGGGGGCGGGGATGGAAAAGACTCTGTAACCACTGAGTGCTTAGGCAATCCTGGTACATTAATATTCCAGCTCATTAGTCATATATTTTCACACAGAAATGTTCTTTGTCTGAAACGTGTTTTTAAAATTCCTGGTGAAAACATAGTCCAACGGGCATCTATTAAGTGCTTACCAAGGGGAAGGCGGTGTGGTAGTCCCATGAAGGATAAAATGCTGAACAGGACACAGTCCTTGACCTCAGAGAGTTCCCATACGAGAGGGAGACACAGGATTGTGCACCGATAACCGTAACAAGCATAGAAAGACCTGGAAGCTACAGGGGAGGTGCAGGGAAGGTATGCTGGGAGCCAGGGAGAGGGGAGATTCATTCTGGCTGCTGATATTAAATTAATAAAATGAGGCAGAGAACATTCTTTCCCCGTGTAAATCTTTCCGGAGAGGCCAAAAGGTCTTCCTAAGAAATTATTGCCATTGCTGAGTTGTTTTTGTATTTTATTTACTAGAGAATCTACCCTCTCTTCCAAGCCAGGGGCAAAGGTCATCTGGTCCTTGTCCTCTCCCCCAGGCCTGCCTGCCCTCCCTTATAACTCTCTGGACATGTCTTTCCTCCCGCTTCCAGACTGGACGCTGCTGGAGAGCAAGGGCTGTGGACCCGGTGGCCTCTGTTCCCACCCCCCCACCAGCCTCATACAGGCCCCTCCCACAGGCAAGTGCTTAGTGAATATGTGTCAGATAAAGATCTAGCCCTCCCTTTCCAAAAATCAATGTCATTGCTGCAGGAAACTGTTAAAATAAAGACAGCCAAAATGTGTAAAAACTTTCAAGAAACATTTCCATTCTTAGCAGGCTGTTAGAGCTCATCCCCCACCCCGCTTTTTTCCTTTGTTTCTAATTCTGAGTTTGGGGCTAGATGTGGTAGGCAGTCCCCCTTTTAATCTTTAAATATAGTTCTGAATATAATTACATTTTTATGCAGCACCGAAACATCATATCCTGGTAACGGGGCATTCTTGCACTCTGCACATCTGTGTTAAATCTCCTTCACGTCTGTCTTCTATTGAGGACAGTTGTGAAGTCTAAGATGAAAGTGATCGACATCATTTGCGAATTATGTGTATTTCCTTATGCCGTATTTCAATGGGCTTTGCTCCTGGTGGTTTTGCAAATGGCAGGTTTTCTGGTGGCCGTGCCGTCACCGAAGACCCCTTTCAAGACGTGGGTCCCGGCGTCCTGGCACAGAGGACACACCCCATGCTTAGAAGAGCATTCGTCCTGGATTAAGAAGCCGCACCGCGTCTTTGCCAAAGAGCCCAATCCGTCTGATAAGTGAGCTGAGGCGCGGAGCCCACACAGGTCAAAATGAAAATGGATCACCTCGTGCTAGGAACCCTGCTGAGCTCCTAACCCCGTCCTCCCCCACGGGCACCCGTATTCCCATTCTGCAGATGAAAACACTGAGGCTCCGCGGGGTTAAGTGACTCGCCGAGGTCCTGCAACCAGCTGAGAAGTTGATGTGCCCCTCCCCACGCCCCGGCAGTTTGAGTCCAGGGCCCGTGGCCACATCACCACTCAGCTCCCGGGCCCCTCCTGTTCCCGGACCACTTCCAGCCAGTGTGCCCGACGCCGCTTACCGCATCAGGTGTGAGACCTGGCAGGCCCAGAAAGGGAAGGCTTGTCACAGGAGAAGGAATCACAGGGCCAGGGAAAGAGGGTTCAGGTGACGTGTCCTGTTACCGGCAGGCGCACCCCCACGGTGACTCGCTCACCCACATGCTGGGAGGAGCTCTCCACGGTCCAGGGGACGGGGGCAGCCATCTCGCCCGTTCCAGGGCTACCTACAGACAGCCTGCATTCCAGAGGCTTCTTGGGCCTCCTGGCATTGCTGTGGGGCGACGAAGAGTGAGTTGCGCGTGGCCGGGTGCATCCTGTACCCCACGGCCGCCGTCCACCTGGGGGGGGGGCGCCCTGGCAGGAGTGTCAGGCCCCAGGGGCACAAGTGGCCAAGGTCCGTCTTCAGCTGGCCCCACAGCCCCGCCTTCCAGGTCTCTGATTCCACGTGGCATCAGTGGCCCAAAGGAGGAGGGGCTTCCAGAAGACGCGAGGACGGCTGTCATGACGGATGCTGAACTGGACCCGCAGCACCCTTGCCACCAAGCTCAGGATTTCCTCCACGTGGCAACCTTCTTTGACCAGACCCAGTCTCTGCGTTGGGATGTCGAGTAAGGCCTCTGACTCTGGAATGGGGAAGGTCACGGGACACAGAAAAATACACACTTCGCAGGTATGCAGACAAAAAGGGCGGTTCCAGGACCTCAGCGGGGGGTTGATGTCCTGTGGCCAGCACAGTGCGCTTCCTGATCGGCGACGTGAGATTACTTGGTGGCTGGGCGGAAGGGAAGAAACAGGCCCTCCCCAAGACCCAGGGACGGACCCCACCATCCGGGAAGACCCATAAGGAAGCAGATGCCAGGAGCAAGCCTGCCCCTCGGAAGCTGCAGAAATGTCTCCACGGAGACCGCCTTTAGCTTCAGCGACCTGGTTCCCCTTCCTCACCAAAGCTGTTCTTAAGAAACAAAGCTCGGATCAATTGTTTACACTTTAGCAAGAATTTTGTGTGTCGCCCTCCTCATGGGGGCGTTTTAAGCCCGCGCTGCGGGGGCGCCTGGGTGGCTCAGTTGGCTAAGCATCCGACTTCAGCTCAGGTCACGATCTCACAGTTCGTGGGTTCGAGCCCCGCGTCGGGCTCTGTGCTGACAGCTCAGAGCCTGGAGCCTGTTTCCGATTCTGTGTCTCCCTCTCTCTCTGCCCCTCCCCCGTTCATGCTCTATCTCTCTCTGTCTCAAAAATAAATAAACGCTGGGGCGTCTGGGTGGCGCAGTCGGTTAAGCGTCTGACTTCAGCCAGGTCACGATCTCGCGGTCCGTGAGTTCGAGCCCCGCGTCGGGCTCTGGGCTGATGGCTCAGAGCCTGGAGCCTGTTTCCGATTCTGTGTCTCCCTCTCTCTCTGCCCCTCCCCCGTTCATGCTCTGTCTCTCTCTGTCCCAAAAATAAATAAACGTTGAAAAAAAATTAAAAAAAAAAAAAAAAGCCCGCGCTGCAGTGGCTAAATGAAAGCACCTGTCTCCAAATAAAGAAAGGGCTTCAAGCATCATGGATAAGGAAAGAGGTGTTTGGGGGCTTGGCGAGGCCCCTCCCCAGTGCCTTAAAATCACCAGAGCTCCATCGTGAACTTTGGGCCACGATAAACTTCTATCAGATGTCAAGTCTTAGTCCTTTCTGATCTACCCACACAGGATGAAGCCTTTGATCCACCCAATGTTGCAAACAGAGTTCCTTAGAATTTAAACTTCCCAGAGGTAGGAAGTACTCATCCAGGTTCCAGGCCTCTCTATATGACACCCCAGGCTGAACGAAGTAGTTATTACGTACAGGGTCTGGATCGGGTTCCCAACCACTGAGGGATCACGGAGCCCCAGAGGGCCTGCTGACAGGTGCAGACCTTCTCCTGTCTTTATTCTCAGGCCCCCTGGAGCCGATCACGGGACCTCCCAGGAGAGAAGAGTCCCCGGGTTTGGAGGCCTCTGGTAGAAGATTCCGCTTTTCATCCGTACTCTACACCCAACCCGTACTCCATACACATTCAGACCTTCCGGAACAGCAAAAGTCTCTCTGTCCCAAGCAATCCAGGGAGGCACAGTCAAGGCTGGGGTGACGAAGAGGCGAAGTGGGGTGGGAACTTGGGGATAAGGTGTCCAGAGGAGGGAGGAACACAGACGGGACGGGACGAGACAGAGACGAATCCAGAAAGGGTGGATTTAGGGGCGCTCCTGGGTCTTACCCGGTGGGCAAGCATCTTCTAGAAAACAGGCATAGAAGCCGTTCACCAGTTAGAGTGGCAGGAGACCCTCGGAGGTGTTGAGCACCTGGTGAGGCAGAAGTGTCCCCCCCCCCCCCCGCAGTGGCCTCTGAACTTCCAGAAGCAAGCTCCCTCCACAGGGGACTGGCCTGCGGCCTAAACCCCCAAGTGTCACCCAGCTCAGGTCAGGGACCGTTGCTCCAGTGCCACCAGGAAATATTATTTAGCCCGGATATTTTTAGCAGGAACCGAGCTCCGAGCAAATGTCACGTGAGCCATCTTCTCTTACACGGCAACTTTGGGCTATTTAAAGAGATGATAATTACGCTCCTGCCACCGCGATCAGGACGGGCTGAGTGCGTGATTACAGGAGCCCCTCATCTGCCGTGCGGAGCACTTTACGCTAATGGAGCCCAATTTTCTAAGCTGCCTGCCTAAATCTGGCCGGTCTCCCAGGTGGACCTTTGAATTGGCACCGGAGGGGCGGCAAACTGCTCTTTGAGGCCTCGTAGCTGCCCCCCAACGGCGGCTCCGAGGGCGCTAGGCCACGAGATCCGCCCCCCACCCCCCAGCCTGGCGGGACTGACGCTCGCCACTGACCTCCCGCCTTGGAAGAAGGTCTCGCCTTGGCCTTCGGGTGATGACAGTGGTGGTCTCCGTGCCTGGCATCTTTCAGAGAAGCCAGGAGCAACCCTCAAAGGAACAGCAGTCATGGGGTCTGAAGAAGCAGGACAGTCAGGCCAAGGAGACGCGGTCGCTAGGGGGCCCAGGAGAAGGCGCACTAAAGGGGACACTTGGGAAGGTGACAGGGCCAAGGGCGGGGGGAGGGCGGGACCAGGAGGCAGGGCAGCAGGCCAGTCGGGGAGGAAGGCAACCTAGACGCTTGCACTCCTTACACCGGAGGGAAGCAGGCACCTTGCAGGAGCTGCTGGCCCGTAGGAGGAACGTTGTGCAGCACACATGAGAAAGAATGGATGTGCTGTTACCCCTACGGGCGACGGATGCCGACCAGGCAGCCCATACTCTGTCCAGCCAGGCACAACTGGGGTCCTGTGCTCCGATCCATTTGCAGTGTGCTCGTGGACATCACCAATGGGGGTCTTGAATAAAGGTGGGCGCCTGGATGGTGGGGGGGGGAGCGGACAGGAGGGAGTCCCCAGACCCCATCCTAGAAGGACTGGCAGGAGGAATTCAGGGGCGGACTCGAGGAAGGGAAAGCTAGCTGACTTCAAATACTCGAAAGGATGTAAAATGGAGAAAGGGCCAGGTCCTTCCAGAAGGCTGCTGAGAACAGACTTAGGATCAGCCGGAGGGAAGCGTGTGCCCTGTGGAACCAGGCGGCCTCGCAAAGGAATGAGCTCCCCATCACTGGAGACTTTACGGAGAGAGTCATAGCATGAGACGGACCTTGGAAGCCTCCTGGCCAGCCTCCCACCCAAAGCCGGGACCCCTCCTCAGAGTTCCTCCCGGATGACCTCAGGGCTCTGCCCGGAGGGCACCAGGCGAAGCATCCAGCTTCAGCTGCCAAGACACGAGCCCAAGAAAAGTTGGCCCTGTCCACCAGGCCCGTCCACAGGAAAACAGAAGTCAGAGCCTCCTGCCTTGGAGTGTCCCTGAGCGCCGGGCCTGGCGGAGCCTTCTAGAACGTTCTGCTCCGGCCCCGCCTACCTGGCCACTGGCGCTTCCCAGGGGCAGTGTCAGGGAGACTGCGAACAAAGAGAGAGCAAGTGTTCCTGGCAAGCGGTTAGCAAAGGTGAGCGAGTAAACATTTCTGCCTGAGCACATAAGCGTGGCAATTACCTCAGCAGGACGCCGGCGAGAGAGCGTTGCCGGCTGGGTTGTTTGCTCATTAGGACAAGAAAATCATTTATGTTCTGGGACTCAAGTGTCAACAGACCCAGGGAAAATGTCTTGCCTCAGCTGCCACCCTGGGGCCGGCCAAGGGGGCAGCTGGGATCGCAGGCACAGCTGGCGGGGCCAAGAGCGGGTGTGCACGGCACAGACACGGTTCGGGACCCACTTCCCGTCAGGGCCGTCTCTCGGGCCCTCCTGCCTGCTTTCCTCCCTTGCCCTTTCTCCTCCCTTCTCGGGTCCAGCAATGAAGGGCGCAGAGAGTGCGGTGGCCGGCCTGGCGTGCCCGTCAAGGGTACCGTACTTAGGCGTGACCCACCCACCCCAGGCTCTCCGGGGGCCGAGAGGGTTCCCCTGCGGTGGGACTTTCAGGGAAGCCCCAGGCAGACCGGGATGGCTGGTCACCATACCGCCCATGAGCCCTGTAGCCGCCCCATAGAGGGGGCACCATTCTGCCCATTTTGCAGATGGGGAGGAAGGTGCCGGTGAGGGCAGAGCAGAGAACCTTCCCTGGAGCCCCTGTTGCAGCCATGGTCTCACCCTCCACTCCAGCTCTTCTCCCACAGCCCCCTTTCGTTTGCTTCAGACCTGGGCAGGGAGGGAGTCACAGACCCACGGAGGGTCCCTCGGACAGCACCTGACCGACGCCTGCCCTGACAAGCTGGGGAGGGGAGGCCCCGGGGGACTGAGTGGCCTCAACAACACCCTCCCCAGCCCACCCCCAACTCCTCCAGAGGCAGGGACAGACTGGGCCTTCATTCTCCCATCTATAGGATGGAAATAATAATAGCAGAAAGAATCAGGTGGGAGGAGACCCCAGCCGGCGCGGCCTCCTCGGTGGCCCAGCCCTGCTCCCCCTTGGCCCTCAGGACGCCCCGCGAGCCCCTGGGTCTCCCTGTCCTTGGAGGTGCCGCCTTCACTTGGGCAGCAGAGACGCTGGAACGGGGTGTGGTGAGAGCAATGAAGAGGGTGTGACATTTCCCTGGGCCCCCACCAGAGCCCGCCCGCTACTCCCGCGTCCCATCCCTCCGCTGCAACCTGGAATAAGTCAGGGAAGCCCTCGGAGGCCAGGCTTTAAGGAGAGAAGCGATTCTGCTTCCAGGAGGGGAACTTGCGATCGGCACCTTGCCCTTTAAGGCCCCACGCGGAGGCTATATTTAGGGCTGAGGACATTCCGCAGGACCTCGGGCAGCCTTCACTGGGAGCAATCGCTAATCACTGCATTGAGTTTACGGGTGCCCCTGGGCACACTTAACCCAGGGCAATGAATAGTTATTGCCGGCCTCCCGCTCAGGGCCTGTGGGCACACTTAAGCAAGAGCGCGGATCGCTGCTAGCGGGCACGGCTCGGGTACACCCTTGGGCACCCTGCGCCTTCAGCGGGGAGAGGCAGAGTATTAAATATCTATGTGCCCTGTGCCCACAGCTGCATTTAGCCAAGGGCAAGGCCGGTGAAACGGCTTTAATTAAAACTTAATGCAAGTTCAAGGTGCAGGCACGGAAGCAGCGGCTGCAGAAGTCACCGGGAATGAATCAGTCAATTCGATGAGGTTCTCAGTTGTGGGGGGGGGGGGGGCCCCGGGGGGGGGGGGAGGGGGGCCAGGGCAGCAAAGACCCGTCTTCTCTCTCGTGCCTGCTGCCCACCTCTCTGTGTCCATGTTCTGGGACGTGGGGCCACTGTGGGCTCCCACACCTCGCTTGGTGAAGGAGGCTGGACATCGCGGCTTCTAAGGCAGACCGTTGGAGGCAAAGCAGGCGCCTGGGCCAGAGGCGGGTCCTGCGTTTCTCAATAACCCGGCCCGGTGCCGGTGACTCTGGCCACACCGTCCCCCTGGCGGTGGCTTCCAGAATTACAGACCCGGTGCAGGGGGAGAAGTGACCCATCCCGGAAACTTCAAAAGTCATCACCTGTGGGCAAAGCTTGGGGATCCTGGGGTAGATTCTTAGGAGGACCAACACCAGGCAAGTGGGCAGAGAAAGTCCTGCTCCTTAAGACTGGGAGGCAGAGGAATAGCCAAGCAGTCTGCCCATTAGCCCAGGCCCCAAGCCAGGAGGAGTTCAGGTCACCGGGCCTGGGGGCACCTCAGAAGTGGGGCTCCCTTCTGGAGCCACTTCATGTTTACAAGATTAAAGTCAACTTTTTAACATCAGAAGAGCTCACATACAATTATGGATTTCCAGTTTCTCGTGAAAAGTTGGAAAGGCTGGCCAGATGGGGCTGGGGTGGAGTGGAGGCTGCCTTTCTGAGTGGGGGAGGGACGGGGGGGGGGGGGGGGGCAGGGGGGGGGGGGGGAGCCTGTGCCCGCCTCGGCTGTGGCCCCGCCACAGCTCTGCCTGGCTCACAGCCCGCCTCCTCCACATGCCTCCTAATCCCTCCGCTTCATTCTCCCATCTGTAGGATGGCAATAATCATAGCACCCATTGCTCAGAATCACTATGGAGATGCAGTGAGTTAATATTTGCAAAGGAGTTAGAACAGTGCCCAGCACAGAGCAGGTGCCTTGAAAGTATTTGCTAAATAAAGACACGAGTACAATTCTGTGCTGCCTCCTGAGCCTGGCACACTCATTTCTGGGGCGGGTTTGGCCCCCCCCTAGGCATTTGCATTTGTAACCACCCCCCCATCCAAGTCTTGTTTAGCTCACAGAGACTCCCGCAGGACTAGAGAGAAAGCTGACAAGCTGACGCAAGGAGCCCACAAAGCAGGGAAGGAGCTCACCTTGGGGGGAACCTCCATTTCCTGGTCTTTAAAGTAGGGACACTGCACCTGATTGTATCTGAGGTCCTTTTATGGCTAAAAGACTACAATTCCTTGACTTCACCCCAGTCAAGAAGGGGTACCCAGACCAGCCATTTTTTTTTTTTTTCGATCGAGCAATCGAGAACACGAGGGCACAATGTTGCAGCTTCAGTGACAGCCCCAGTGCTCCCACTGGCCCCCGTGCCAGCTGGTTCAGACGCCTTGAACACACCTGCCCCCCCGCATCCCATCCCAACTCGCTCAGACAAAGCCCAGGGGGACCGGGCACCCGGCCGGTGCCCACGAATGCCTGCGGGAGAGCAAGGCCACGGTGCGTCTCCAGCTGCCACCCCTCTGCCGGACCACGTCTGAAGGCTCAGGAGCCGTGGCCTTTGGAGAGAAGGCCAGTCTGGGATGTCGCCCCACCGTGTCCCCTGGGCCCTCTGAGCCTGTTACTTGAACGAACGTGGGCCCACAGTAGACGCCCCCCTGGCCCAGCCTGGACGTTAACACTGGACACTTCATGATGAAGCAGACACTCTGCTCCAACCTTCTCACCCCTGTTTGAAATATTCTGATTTCCAACCTGTAATTTTGCTTTCTGGAAGGAGGGCAAAATTCATGCGTGCAAATGGAAGAGGAAAACACAGTTCATAGGGCTGCAATTATAGGTCAGTGACTATTCACAGCAAGTACGGTTCACGTCAACTGGCTGGCAGCCGGGAAGGTGTCAGGAAGAGGGCTGGGAAGGGAGACCGAGGCTGTGGGGCCTGGGAACCTGGGTCTGGCTTCTGGGTTCCCACAGCGCAGCCCCCACCGGGAAGCCCTCGGGGCTGGGAACGTTTGCAGATTTCAGGAAGGCCAAGCCTGGGCAGACAGGACCAGAGCTTGTGCCCGAACATCCCCTGACAGGCACCAAATGTTTGCTCATGCCTGACCTTCCTCGACCGCCACAGATGACTCCTAAAGTAGGCTTCCCTGCTCCCATGTGATGGATGAGGCAGGTGAGGCTCAGAGTAGGTCAGCGACTAAGCCAATGGGTTGGTGGGAAGAGGAAGCAACTGAAGAAAGGAAGAGAAAGAGAAGGAAAGGTTAGGTCGTGGGATGGCTCCCCCCACCGCGACCCCCTAGGGAGACACTCTGGGCTCGGTCAGGGAAAAGAGTCCGCTCCCCCACCGACTGGCATCAGCCCAGCCGTCGGACCCCAGCCCCCAAATCCCGCCTCCCTGCACCTTCCCTGGGCAGGGTCCAGGCCGTGCGGCGCCTGGAGCTCAGGCAATTTGGGGGAAGGGCCTCTTTAGGAAAAAGAATATAAAAATCTCTTTTGCCAGCTTTACAGTCATGGTCTTGTGAGCACCTAAGGGGCCGGTGCAAGTGAGGGGCCCGAGGCTTATGCTGCATCAGCGCCAAGGCCAATCAACTTCTGCGAATCTGGCCGCACCACTTTTTCACTTTATTAAGCACTGACTAAGCACCAACTCTGTGCCAGGCCCAAAGGCCAACGCTGTGGGCATGCCCCACCCCCTCCCACCCCGCCCAAGGCACCCCAGATCCAGCCAGAGACAGCTGTGGGAGGAGATTTGTTATTAGTCAGGGCAGCAGGTGCCATGACAGAAGCAGGTTCAAGGCACAGAGGTGATCAACTATCAGGAAGACTTCCTGGAGGAGGCAGCCTCTGATGTAGGTTCACTCGCCTGGCAGTCTGTGCCCCAAACTCTGAGAGGTCAGAGCCTGGGCTTGGCCCCTCTCTTCTGTCTCTCCCCACTCTGTGTCTAGGAAGGAATAATGATACAATGTTCCCTTTCTTGACCTCTGCACTCATATTTACCTCTTTTTGTCTCCCTGAGTGGAAGCTTCCCGAAAGACATCAGCAAAGCCTGATCTTTCCCAAACCCACCTCCTTCTGCACGAAGCAGGCTGAGTATTGAGCTCAAAATATGAAGTCACCAGGGCGCCTGGGTGGCTCAGTCGGTTGAGTGTCTGGCTTCAGCTCAGGTCATGATCTCACCGTTCGTGAGTTCAAGCCCCTCATCGGGCTCTCTGCTGTCTGCTCTCTCAGCCCCTCCCCTGCTCGTTCTCTTTCTCTCTCTCTCTCACTCAAAAATAAATAAATATAAAAAATTTTTTTAATCAATTAAAACAAGCAAACAAAAACAAAGTCACCGTCAGGATCAGGATACAGGAAGTAGACACATTGGGTAAGAAAAGAATTCAGGTGGTTGGGGCCCTCCAGGTCCCTACGATAAGCAAAGGACAGAAGTGTGGTTGAGCCTGCAGAGGCCACTTTTCTACAAGTGGAATCTCAGAAATCTCAGACACCCAGATGTAAACCTCGAAGTCCCTTATCTGGGGTAGAGGAAATCAGTAGGAATAGGACAGGGCTGAAAAGGTACAGAGCAGCAGGGAATCCTAAAGTTCTACCTTCGAGACATATCTAGAAGCTCACTCCTTCTCCCCACTCTGGTCCCCGGCTTGGGTTTCTGTAGCAACCATCTCCCTTACCTCCTGAGCCCCTAACGGTCTGTACTCCACATAGCAGCCGTTTGCTTCTTTTTCCACACTCGGTCAGATCATGTCCCGCCTCTGCTCAAACCCCCATTTTTCACCCCGAGGAAACGCCAAGGTCCTAGAAGGCCCCACGTGATTTGCCCCTCACCTTCCTGACCTCCACTTCTACTTCCTCACCTCCCTCCCTGCGCTCCAGCCACCCTGGCCTCTCTGCCCTTTTGCAAGCAAGCCAGGCGTCCTTCTGCCTCAGGGCCTTTGCACTGGCTGAGTCCTCTGCCTGGAGCTCCCTTCTTTTAGATACCTGCACGGCTCACTCCCCCATCTCCTTCAAGTCTTTGTGCCAATGTCATCTTCTCAATGAGGCCCACGTTCTGGGTAGAGAGATTACGGGTCCCTTTTATTGTTTTCTTTGGGTTTTCTCTAGTTTCTGTAATTATCTTGTGTTGCTTTTGTCATGATTTTGTTTTAAAGTCACTTGTAAAAGCTCACAGTTTGGGGGCGCCTGGGTGGCTCAGTCGGTTGAGCACCCGACTTCGGCTCGGGTCCTGATCTCACAGTTTGTGAGTTCAAGCCCCGTGTCGGGCTCTGTGCTGCCAGCTCGGAGCCTGGAGCCTGGTTCAGATTCTGTGTCTCCCTCTCTCTCTGCCCCTCTCTCACTCGCACTCTGTCTCTCTGTCTCTCAAGAATGAATAAACATTAACAAATATTAAAAAAAAAAAAAAGCTCACAGTTTGGGGGCACCTGGGTGGCTCAGTCAGTCAAGCATCCAACTTCGGCTCAGGTCATGGTCTCGCCGTTTGTGGGTTCGAGCCCCGTGTCGGACTCTGTGCTGACAGCTCAGAGCCTGGAGCCTGCTTTGGATTCTGCGGGGGGGGGGGGGCCGCCCCCCGCCTCTTCCCTGCTCGCTCTCTCTTTCTCTCTCTCTCAAGAATAAACATTTAAAAAAATTTTTTTTAGGCTCACAGTTTCATTTTCAAATTCTTGACTCAATTCTGTATTTGGTGGAAGATGGAGACACTATTTCAGAAAACAGTCCTGGAAGCCTTTATGCGGGGGATTCTCTGGTGACATGTGTTCCTTTTAAAAGCATGCAGCCTCCACCTCTATCTTTAGCAAGAGATCAAGGCCGTGCCTCTGGCAGAGGGCGGCTCTGAAAGGTAGGAGATCACTGGGGAAATAAAGTGTCTCAGCCTGGATGTGCAAATTGACCTGGATCATTTTAGTTTTGCATTCACGTCTGCACTTTGTAAATATTTGCCTGGCATCCCGCTGCTCACACCTGCTTGCTGTCCCCTCAAGTTTATGGAAGGCAGCAGGCACGGTCATTTCTCTGTCCCCACCTGGCACTGCTAAGCACTGCCGTGAAAGGAAAACTCTCCAGCGAAAGCCACAGGTGTCTCTGACAGTGCCTAAAACTAATGGCCTGTGGCTGGCCGCTGTGACTAATTCTCTGATTATTGACTTTATGATTTTACGCTTAAAACTTCTTTATAATAACACACAGAAATGTTTAATGGGCTCTATCCAGAGCCATAAAAATTACTTATTGAACAAGCGTTTTAAAACTATTAATCTATTGTTTTCCATTAATAATGGCTCTCCAAAGAACAGGCGACAGCTTAATGTATCCACGGCATTTCTCCTCGAAAAGTGGCCTTTTAATACATAAATGCCGCTCCCAAGGCTTCATGGGTTGGCTGGCCATCGGGCAGCTGGCCCTCCCAGGACAGATTTAGGCTCCACCAGTCCCAGAAAGTGCTTTAAGGATTGCCCTAAAAATCCTTAAGGGGGCCCTGGGAGATTTTCTCGGTCTCTGAGAGAGATCGAAAAGCCTCTCTGCTCGATATCTCTTTCTGTGCAAAAGAGAAGAGGTATTTCTAGGGCCTGTGCTGCGGTGCCCACGGTGGAGGACACAGAGGAAAGCAGGCAATGTGCACATCTGTCTACTCTTGTTCCCTCCAGAAGGTTCCCGGTAATCACCTGTGGTACCCACCCCCTTCCTACTTCCGTTGGCAAGCCCACGGCTGAAAGGCTTCTGTGATCCTATGTCCCTGTGTTCTGCTATTTCGGGTAAGCAGTTCCCTCACCAAGCCTGAGATGGTTTCCCACGTCAGATATGTAAAAATTTCCCCTTTGGGGTGCCTGGGTGGCTCAGTCAGTTAAGCGTCCGACTTCGGCTCAGGTCATGATCTCATGGTTCGTGGGTTCGAGCCCCGCGTGGGGCTCTGTGCCTACAGCTCAGAGCCTGGAGCCTGCTTCAGATTCTGTGTTTCCTTCTCTCTCTGTCCCTCCCCTGCTCCCACTCTGTCTCTCTCTCTCTCAAAATACATAAACATAAAAAACAAAATAAAAAAAAAAAACTTTTGGCTCTTTGGGGCCCTTTGGGGCCCTTTGGCCCCACATCTATTTATTTTTCTGGGTGATTTAGATTTTGAAACATATCAGCACCAGATGGGCGTTTCTTCTAGGGCTTCAGGTTGTTTATTCATTCAACAAACGTTTATTGAGTGTCTACTAAGTACCAGGCCGTGTTCTCGGTTCTGGAGATACAGCAATAAACCGGAAACGTGGGGGCCTTGCCTGCCCGGAGCTACCCTCTGTGGGGGGAGCACAGACAACAAAAAGTCATAAATGATAATTTTGGGGGCCGCCCACCTGGGCGGCTCAGTCAGTTGAGTGTCTGACTCTTGATTTCGGCTCGGGTCATGATCTCGTGGTGTGTGGGATTGGGCCCCGCGTTGGGCTCGACAGGGTAACAGTGTGGGATCCCTGCTCAGGATTCTCTCTCTCCGTCTCTCTCTGTCCCTCCCCTGCGTGTGCACACTCTTTCTCTCTCAAAATAAATAAGTAAATTTAAAAACGATTATTAAAAAAATCGTAGAAGATCATTGTAAACAGTGGTGAGTTCTGAGGGGCAAATAGGGTGAGGTTGTGACTGGGGGTGGGCGGGGACTATGTTAGACAGAGAGTCAAGAAGGCTTCTTGGGGAGGTGGCCTTTGAGCGGAGATGTGAGTGACAGGAAGGAACCAGGGGTGAGAAATGGAGGAGGAGCATCCCGGGCAGGGGACAGGGGACACCTGGGATGAGGTATCCGGGCAGGCATCTCTCCCTAGGCGAAGACCTACCCAGCCAACAACCGTTCCCTACCTGGCAAGTGCAGAATTCTGCTCAGCCATCTGCCTCAAACTCTCCCAATCTCTCCTGGGCATCCACAGGCCATGTAGTCTCAGAGGCACTTGACCTTATCTGTCGAACAAGAAAACACTTCTGAGAAGGAGGGAAGAATTTCTCGGCCCAGCCTCACTTCAGTGGACCGGTTAGGTAGGGGCATGGAGGAGTCATGTTGTCAAACCTGAAGGGGCCCTTTACCCCATGCGGAGGTGTTAGTTCAGAGAAGGTTAGAGGCCAAACGTCTTAGGGTGGGGTTTCTCAGACGTCAGTGTGCCACAAATCACCTGGGGGAGTCTTTTTAAAATTCAGATTCTGATTCCGTAGCATCGAGGTAGGGCCTGGGGTTCGGCAATTCTGTCAAGCTGCCGGGTGATGCTGTGCTACTGGTTCAGAGACCACACTGAGTGGCAAAGGTCCTGGAGGTCATGAAGTCCAACCGTGGTGTTTCATGGGGGGAGACAAAGAGAAATGGGACTTAATGGTGACAGCACAGCGCTGAGGTCAGAGCACCTTGTTTTTTAATACATATAATGTATTGTCAAATTGGTTTCCATACAACACTCAGTGCTCATCCCAACAGGTTAGGGCACCTTGGTTTGAATCCCACCTCTTTTCTGTGTGTGTGTGTGTGTGTGTGTGTGTGTGTGTGTGTGCTGGTTGCTTAGTTTCAGTTTCTTCCTGTGAATTGATTGTATGATGACAATGGTGGTGATGATGGAAATGATGGTGGTGATGATGGTGACGATGGTGGTGATGAGGTGATGACGATAGTGATGGTGACGATGATGGC